AATGCCAGAAATACTGAGTCAATCCATCTCTGCCTCTTTTTCCTTTTGATCATTATGCATGTGAACAATGCCACTATCGCTTTGAAAACCCATCAATGTAATCATCACCCCTTTCTTCCCATTTTCCCCCATGCCTATCCCATTTGCTCTGCCTATATAAACCTGTGTCCTAACTCTTATGTGCCATGTGTCTGAAGAAGCGGACTGTGTAATCCAAGAAATCTCACACTAAACCAAATCTGTTGATCTTTAAACTTCAGCAGCTCTGTTGTCATTATAATTGTCATACAGGCTGAAAGAGGTTAACCACAGATCAAACATTATTACCAAGAGAGATTGACTCCTTTCCTATTAGGATTTTTGGTGGCTGGCAAAGCCCACACTGTTTGGTAAGCTTTGGGGTTAGGACAGTTCTGTCCTGTATTTTACAGCTGTTACTGTACAGTACCTCCTTATTTGGCTTTTGTAGCCTAGAAAAACCAGATATGGAGAAAGTGTAGGTCTTCGAGCCGTGTATGGCCTCCAGCATTTCTATAATGCAAATGCAATGCCGAGCATTTTCACTTGGTCATGTTTTTCACAGGTTTTGACAATTATTGCTTTTGTGTGCAGGTGCAGGTGGGTGTTAACTTTCAACTATGTTTTCAAAATGTTCTTTTTCCAATTTACTTTAAGTTTCATTGAATTGTTTTAAAGCCACCTCGAGGATTCTGCTCATTCTGATCAACAGGCCAGAGTATAAATATTGTACTTCAGTGGAGAAGTACAGAAAATTATACAAAAGGGCCCCATCATCTGTTGTATAACAATCCATTATGTAGTCCGAAAACACCATCTCTAATGTGTCACACTGACAGTCTTTTCTGCATTTCTTGTTCTGCAGATGTGAACTTGCCTCGCAACCCGAGCCCTTCCCAAGGGCTTTTTGTCATTTCATTCAGCTGCATATTTTCAATACATACTGTGTTAATTAACAAGGCTATTATCATACAGATTTTTATCCTCTTCGACCCAGGCAAATGATCCTGCTGCATACATGCTAAAGTTCATCAAGCAACTCCCTACCCCTATGGCGTTTTATTTTATTTTATTTTTTGCTGGAAAACAAATGTTTTTGTCCAGCACATGTTTGCCCAGCACGTGGAAGGATCCGGGATGGATGGGGACTGCTTAATTGTGTTTGAAATATTCATCATAGCATTGTTTTAGTATTATTATTCAATTCAGAGCAAAATTGGAGGCAGATTAAATGCATAACTGAACTAGTGAACAGCAGATGTCCTGACTTTCTTGCCTGTTGAGTAACATCAGAAGGCAAACCTGGATTAAAAATTCATTTTGCTGCTCCAGTAACATAAAAAAAACAGCTTAGGAAAATTATGAATGGCACGAACTTTAGGAAAGCAATTTATTCTCCAAATCATGATTCTCTGTGGATAACTACAACCCCTCTTAGCCTACTATATGCTTATTCCAATATAAAAGGAACAAGTCTCCAAACCAGTAACATTTATGTGTTCTCTCCTTCCTTTATACCCTTATTCAGGGGCTGGACTCAATTATCTATAGCAAGGGTCCCCAACTTTTTCCACCCTTCAGACTGGATGGGGAAGGCGGGGCACCCCCTGCAATCTCGCGCATGTGCAAACGAGAGAGCATGCTCTCACACATACGTGAATGAGCGCACTCTCTCTTTCATGCAAACAAGCGTGCACATGCACAAACAGCAGCCCAGCACTTGTGCGAGTGCACTTGTGCACAAACAGCAGCGCAGCACTCACATGCGCTCATTCGCATGCACAAACAGCAGCACAGCGCTTGCGCAGGCGTGCTCACCCTTGTGCGCAAATGGCAGTGCAGTGCTCACACGCGCTTGTGCGCATGCACAAACAGCAGCGCAGCACTTCTGCGGGCACACTCGTGCTTGTGCGCAAATGGTGGCGTGGTGCTCATGCAGGTGCACTGGAGCACAGACACATGCATAAATCAACTGTGCGGGGGTGAGTGCATGTGGGGGGCAGGAGGTCAGGTTGGGGAACCTCTGATCTAGAGGGTCCCTTCCAGCAATGCGGTCACATGAGCCGAATGTTGCCTTCCTATCCCCCATTGGGTTTGTAGCATAAATTTGCAGTCACATGACACACAGCCCTTAGTCAATCATTTACCCCATGAGTGTGTTAACTGCGGATTATTTCTCACTCGGCCAGAGGCTTCCACTTTTGTTGTTGCCAATCTTTTTAGTGTGTTTCTGAGTGTGTGAATGGTCTTATCGCAACTTTTTTGAACTACTGTCACTGTGCAATGTCTTCTAAAACTGTTTTTTAATTTAAAAAACAATTCCGTGGTGTTCTGTCAATGCATCAGGTGACTTTTGTCAAACAGTGTCAACAAGAAGGTCTAGGCGCTTATTGAAATGTAAGGAAATGATCTGGTAACACAAAAACACATTGGGACACACATTCTGGAATACACACCACGTGACCGCAAAGCACGATTAAAAGTAGCGTAACCACAGGGGGGACATTTTGCAGGTGTGACCCCAGCACAAGGTTCTCTTCACTTCCAGCACTGCAATAACAATAGATTCAATTAAATTTAAGTACTTGTAGTTGTATCAAGGGAAATGTTGATTAAACATCTCATGTATAATTTCCCCCCTGAATAATTTAACAATGCTGTTCTCCTAAACTTCGAATTAGACTCTGCTAATTGTTAAACTCATAGGTAGGCAGTACATTTATTAGAACCAGTGGTCAATGCACTAAAAAATACAATACATTCCAGTCCAAGTCCAGTTCGCATCATAGCATGAAGACAGCACTGGTCACCCTGCAAGATGACCTCTTGAGGGAGACCAATAGGGGCAAAACATCCTTGTTAGTCCTCCTTGGCCTATCAGCAGCCTTTGATACCGTCAACCACAGTATCCTCCTTGGGAGGCTTTCTGAGTTGGGGATTGGTGTCCGGGCCTTGGCCTGGCTCCGGTCCTTCCTGGGGGATAGTCCTCAAAGACGGCCTTGGCCTGGCTCTGGTCCTTCCTGGGCGATAGTCCTCAAAGAGTGCAGCTTGGGGAGATGTTGTCCACCCTGTGGACTCTCAACTGTGGAGTCTCGCAGGGTTCAATCATCTCTCCAATGCTATTTAATATCCACACAAGGGCTCTGGGGGAAGTCATCAGGAGTTCTGGAGCTTCGTGTTATCAATATGCAGATGACACCCAGCTCTATCTCTCCTTCCACCCTTCTGCAGTGGCTGGTGGTCCATCCCTTGAGCGCTGCCTGGACGCCATGCTGGGATGGATGAAGGCTGAACCCAGACAAGACGAAAATCTTGTGGGTGGGGCCCCTTTGTGTCTGCTGTCTGGGTGCCTCCCTTTCTTTTGGGGTGGTTTCTCTTGCTGCAAGGGTTGAGGTGCGCAGCTTGGGCATACTTTTGGACCCAGCACTATCAATGGAATCTCAGATAGCATCCATGGTCCCCACCACCCATCTCTATCTAAGGCGGATCACTCAGCCGTGTCCCTACCTTGACACCGAATATCTCACCACGCTGGTCCATGCATTGGTAGTCTTGAGATTCGACCCCGAGAGAGGCCCGGAAAACAGTAACCAGAAACCGGGCCTCCTCGGTGGTAGTCCCACAATTATGGAATACTCTCCAGCCCAATATTTGTCTAGTACCTTCATTGGAAACCTTTAAGTGATTATTAAAAACATTTCTATTTAGACATGCCTTCCTGGACTCTACATCTGATTCCAAAGCACTAAATAACCAGAATTCGCTAATGTGCAACCTCCACCATGCTTTCTTTTTTAATGTTCTATTGATATTGTTTTTACCTGTTGATATTGTATAGATTGATTTATTTTATTGTCTGCTTATTGTCTTTATATTTTGTTTTATGGTATTATGTAAACCGCCCAGAATGGCTTGGGTTGCCAGATGGGCAGTATAGAAATAAAATTAATACAAATAAAATAAATGTTCTCCTTAACTCTTTATTGGGCTGGATGGCCATGCCCTTTGCTAGCGTCCTGTTTTTTCGCCCTCTGTTTGAGCTTCATGGACAGCTGTAGTGGACCTGCGCCTATTTGGTGCACTGAAGGTTTTCCTTGTACACCGATTTATATACCTGCCACTTCCCCCACACGGATGAACAGGAGTGAGCTATAAAGAACCGGTCCTTTTTAAGGAGAAAGGCGGGATGAAAACATTTTAAAGAAATCAGTTAAACAAATGTCCATTAACGATGTTTGAGCTTCATGGACAGCTGTAGTGGACCTGCGCCTATTTGGTGCACTGAAGGTTTTCCTTGTACACCGATTTATATACCTGCCACTTCCCCCACACGGATGAACAGGAGTGAGCTATAAAGAACCGGTCCTTTTTAAGGAGAAAGGCGGGATGAAAACATTTTAAAGAAATCAGTTAAACAAATGTCCATTAACGATCGCGCGCTAAAGGCGGGATGAAAATATTTTAAAGAAATCAGTTCAACAAATGTCCATTAACGCTACGATCGCGCGCTAACGATCACGTAACTGGATCATGTCCTTTATACTGTGCTTTACGGGGGCGGAGGGGGTTGTTGTTGTTGTTTTAAGTTGACATTGATCTGAAAGAGTTATCAGGCGAAGGTGCAAGGTGCCTTTTTATCCCGCGACCTCGACCCGGCTGGTCGCCTTCTTGACGGACTCGCTACAAACCTGGGGATCGTTCAGATTGTTCAGCGCCCAACTTTCGATCTCGACTCCAAGGAAAACGATCGGGACACCTGGCCCGAGGAGAGATCCCAGGCAGGTGGCTCGCAGGCTTTTCCTCCTCCTGCTCTGCGATCCGAGAGGCTTTCTCGGGCGGGCAAAGGAGGCGGGAGCGGCTTCTAGG